TAGATAGATAGATAGATAGATAGATAGATAGATAGATAGATAGATAGATAGATAGATAGATAGATAGATAGACAGACAGACAGACAGATAGATAGATAGATAGATAGATAGATAGATAGATAGATAGATAGATAGATAGATAGATAGATAGATAGATAATATGTGGCTTTATCTTTCTTTACAGAAGCCCCGTACAGGACAGAGACTTAAACATTCTCACAGCCAAAGCACACAATCGAAAGAGTGCAGACAACAAAATGGAGAACTCATGGAATGGTGATAAAAAGAAAGAAAATCGCCATCCATTCCAAAAAGAACTGGACAGGATCAGAGAACTTGACACAGACAAAGATTTCACCTTGACACCTCCAGCTGCGAACCAATCAGGTGGCCTCAACAGCCCCAGTGTCCTTGAACCTTTGTCTGACCTCTTTGCGCAAATCGCAGGAGGGAAGGGTCACCAATGTGTCGACTTTGAGGCGTTCCAGTCCTTCGTTCAGTAAGTTTATTTTTTTCTTCTTTCAAACGTACTTCATTGAGGTTTTGAACCGACGGCTCTGATCTTAATCACATATACAATAAGGATTTTTTCCTTTGGACTCTATGAACGTGATTTTGGACTCTATGAACGTGAGTTCGTTTCCCACGTTGATGAAACAGTTTGTCGTGTATCGCCGACTATTTGCTGGTTCCCTGTGTAGTACAAAGCTAGAGTCGAATCACTCCTCCTCCCTTGTTATCTAAAGTGTGTAGATTTGAGCGTAAGACGTTTACAGTCAATCAGCTAAAGACAATTTTAAGGGGTGAGGGAGCACTTAGCACAGTAGCCTTATAGAAATGGTTGAAGCAGAAAAGGAGAAGACATTGGAAAAAAGACAGGAGGAAAGAAGACAGGAGGAAAGAAGACAGGAGGAAAGAAGACAGGAGGAAAGAAGACAGATGTGTTCTGGATACAAAGATAAACTATATATCCAAATTGAAATATTTAAACGTTGAAAGTTTGAATTCTAGCCCTGTCGTTTTAGGACTTGTATCTCATAGTATAGTATTTGTGAGGCAGTGTGGTGGAATCAGGCTCTCGCCAATTTTTGGGCATGTAGGGTTATCGGTGTCATCTTAAAGCTTGTTTACTTGTCTTTATATGGCTGAAAACAATCTCCATTTATCTTGAATACAAATCAAGATATTTGCGAAAGAAGGAAGTGGGGTTCACCTATTTTCAGAGGTAAAATTAGTGAGAAAATGGCAGCCAAAGATTAATTATTTCCTTAGCTAAAGAGTCCATGGTAACTAAAAATTTACTTTTTTTTGGTACCTTTAATCGACGTTTTTCAGAAAAATCCACATAAATGAGTTCTTTAATGGGTATGAAAGGTGTTGAGCCAAAAAAAAAAAAAATCAAAAAAATTCACAAACCTGTGGGAAAATGCAAGTTTCTTCATTTTGATTATTTTGGCGAGAGCCTGATTTCACCACGCTGTCTCACATATTACTGATTGTGTTTTGTTTGTTTTCAAATGAATCTTTCAGGAAAAGCGGTTTGTCTCAAAAAGGTGTGGACTCTTCAGCTTCGGAGGAGATCTACAGTCGGTTGAGTCAGCTTTACAATCACATAAACCCGGACCACAGCAAAGGTAAGAGGTCTACCTCTCCCTTCCTAAAAAAAACAAAAAAACAAGAAAAACGTTTTAACCGGCTAGAAGCTAGTACCTCTAAATAGCCCTTTGTTCAGCTTTAAAGGTGGTGCAACTTACTCTCGTATTGCCTTGTACAATAGTGCTGGGCGGATGAGTTCCCGATTATTGAAAGCCAGGAATTGTAGGAATCGACTTCGAACCCAATTACTTATTTTCTAATGATGTGATTTTTTCCCCCGGTGGTTACCTGGTTGGCTGCGAACATTTTCAGGATTTAGGATAACTTTGATTTCGGAACACTACTTAGCATCAACTTTTATTTTTCAAAAATAGATCCTATGTTTTTTTTAAAGAAACTTTTTATGATAAAACCCTTGGTTTACGTATAAAGGAGAAGGAACTTTACATCCGTAGTATTAATCGTGGGAATCGGTCCCGGAATCGACTCTTCGCCCAGCGCTATTGTACAGGCCCCAGCCACTTTGGTGTAGGAGTGCTATTTTCTCTCTGTAATTTTCGTGTCTTGCGCCCCTCTCTGTAACCAGCTGCTTTTATTATCTACAGAGTGCATAATCTGGCGAATTTAATCGAAAGCAAACTAATACAGAAACAATATTTGTCAAGGGAAGGGAAAAGTGGGGATGGGGCTTGCTTGTATGAGACAATATAAATGCAATTTGTCGGCCTGGGCCGTGCCGCGCTGTTGTCTATTTGGCATTACCGTCAGCGAAGTCGTTGCCGAGGATCTCGCTGTGGCCAGGGATCGTGGGTTGAGGTGTTATATGTGAGGCAGCGTGGTGGAATCAGGCTCTCGTCTAGTTTTGGGCATGTAGAGTTATTGGTACCATCTTAAAGCTTGTTCACTTGTCTTTATTTGGATGAAAAAAATATCCATTTTCTTGAATACAAGTCAAGATATTTCCAATTGAAAGAGGTGGGGGTCACCTGTTTTCAGAGGAAAATTAGTGAGAAAATGGCCGCCAAAGATTAGTTATTTTCTTAGATTAAGAGTCCGTGGTAACTGAAAATTTACTTTTTGTGTACCTTTAATCAACGTTTTTCAGAAAAATCCACACAGAAATGAGTTCTTTAATGGGTATGAAAGGTGTTGAGCCAAAAAAAAATTGATAAAAATTCACAAACCTGCAGAAAAATACAAGTTTCTTCATATTGATTATTTTGACGAGAGCCTGATTCCACCACGTTGCCTCACATATGACTTTTACGTAGTCGCATTTGGTCGAGAGATGGTGATTTTCCCACGAGTGCCATGCATGACGATTGACTGTTCGTGAAGATAGCGACCATATTGGATGCATCACACTGTTAGTCGAACCAGTCAATGGCCATTTCCAAAGGATCTCCTCTCTTCCTCAAAAGAGCTGTTGCTGTTGTTGTTGGGAATGCTTTTTTGGATGTTTTCCTGTTTACTGTTCCCTTCGTATGCGTGTAGGGTTTATATTATGATATGACCTACAAGTATTTTTGCTTGTGTGTTCCTACAATATTGTGGAAGAGATGGGTTGGTTTTAACGCAATAGGGTCGGCTTCTTCTTCTTCTTCTTCTTCTTCTTCTTCTTCTTCTTCTTCTTCTTCTACTTCTTCTTCTTCTTCTTCTTCTTCTTCT